GCCGCAGTCAATGGTGTACTTTTATTCTCACACATCACTAGATCCACAATAACGATATATTTGTATGAGTTGCGGGGAAAAGGTTGGAGGGACAAAATTCCGTCCACACATTTTTGAAAAAAAGAAAAATTTCTTTCAAATACCAAAAACTTCACTAATCACCTTTTACTGTGGATTTCCACCTCCATATCTTTGATCGTTCAACTCTTGCGAAATACCTAATTGGGCGGAAAGCTTTTATGTCATACTCCCATTCTATCTATCACTTCATCTATCGTATGTCGTGTAAGTTAGTATTACCCGAAAGCAATCACTATGTGTTAATGTGGGACGCGACAGTAAAAGATTCTTGGCGAGGCGGTGTTCTTTTTTGAAGTTTCTATAGTGATGTGTCCTCCTGTAGGGAGAAGTGTATTTAGCACCCGATAGTTGCTTCCATCTGGTGTCGAAATTAGTGTTTGATGACGAGTACAATTAGTGAAAATGGGGCAGATGGGCAAAAATTCCGGATTGTCTTGTTTAATATTAGAACTATTTATCTCATCCTGGATTCCATCGTTTGAAAGTGGCAAAGCTCTGTGTGGTTTTATTACATTACTCTAGTAGGTGAAAGAAGCAGTCACTAAAGCAAAAGCGAAGTTTCACCCAAACAGATCAAATCAAGCTTCAGTTGCAACATAGACTTCGTAATCCCCACTGTTAATCATGTGCTATCCGTTACGCAGATCCAGGTCACAAATCTCCATCAAAAGTTGCTAACGACCATCATTTATAACAGCAGGCGCGATTTGATAGCGCCATTGGCGGTTTTAAACGCTATGGCTGACAGGAGGTTCGCGCTCTTCGTGTAATTATTCCTTGGAAGTCAGCTATAGGAAATCAGGTTTACCATGTTACCGTACCTGTACCATGTTGTCTACGAGATGGAGATAACACATACGTTCGGGGATGGCGCTCAATGTATTCCCACACTTTTCTTGCCAATCAGCCGTCAAAAGTGGCCTTGCGGACCACCAATTTGTCAAAAACTTCGAAACAGCACTGTGGCGTTCGAAAGTGAGACAAACTCGTACGTGCTCGTACATACCTTTTATCATGGGACGATGTATGAGACGTTCATTTACGAGCGCCGCAGATGAACTGTGATTACGAACTTCAAAGGGAATAGTGGTTGGGGAAAAAAGAGTGCGGAATTTCAGGGATAGGCTGACAGAGTGCAATGAAGTAGCTTTGATTTTTAGGACCAAAATGCAGCGAGAAAGATCCGTGTCCAAAGGATTACTGTCATCACGAAGGCAAATGCAAAGCGAATGGCACCGAATTCTTCTGCGATTGTCCACGAGGCTATCACGGCAAAAGATGTGAACTAGACGTGAACGAATGTGACCTATCGCCGTGCGCATTTGGAAAATGTGTGAACACGGTAAGTGCCCGCGAAAGCTCGGACAAAGCCTCTTTATCACTGCTACGCTTCCCTACCCATTTTCAGCACAGAAAAACCATTTTTCCATAGACAAAACAGTGTACGCAACGGTGCACACTACGCTCTTTCTGCTTACAATTCTTTGTCTTTCGGTAACACGCAGCAGACATGACGCGGCAGTCGGATGAGGCGCAAAGTAGAAAAGAGAGAGAGGACAAATGCGCAATTCGTTACGACTGATTGCGCACCGCAGCGCATTTTTTTGCTTCTGAGAAAGTTACAAGACCAAAACCACACACACACACATACACACAGTGAATTGCCGACACATCGTAGAGCGATGTGTGGTAGGACATGTCCGGTGAGATGCGCGGTTGTCGACGACGTTATGTGTTCCAGATGGGCTCGTATCGGTGTGAATGCGATGCTGGATTCATCGGAAGCGACTGTCAAGTGTATCGAAGTGGCTTTGAATGCACTCCAGCTGGTCCGAATGCTTGTAGAAATGGCGGATTTTGTTTGGTAGAGAAAAATAACAACACATGTGTTTGTCCACCGATGTATCAAGGTTTGTCATGAATAATTTATGTTTCTAAAAATTGACGATCTGATTCAAGGACTTTACTGCGAGAAAGACGTCGACGAGTGCGCTGTCTCAAATCTTTGCCAGAATGGAGGTACATGCATTAACACCGATGGAGGTTTTCTTTGCCTATGTACCGCTGCTTTCGAAGGTAAATATTAGTATTTATCCTGCTATCGTATCCTGCTGAAGCACTGTTTAGGAGATACATGCAGCATAAATAAGGATGACTGTCTTCACAATAAATGTGAAGCTGGTGCTACATGTGTAGATTTGACTGGATCTTACCGATGTGAATGTCCTCCAGGACGGACTGGTAAGATTTCAAGCCTCTCAAGATTCCTTTGGCATTCAAAACCCCTTTCAGGATCTTTTTGTCAATATAATGATCCTTGTGTCAATATGCCCTGTCTCAACGGAAGATGTATTGGCGATCCGGCAACTGGCAACTACACATGTGCATGTGATCACGGTTATACGGTAGATTACAACGCATCAAAATGATACCGTAATCATAGCAAATGATAATTTAGGGATTGTACTGCGATCAGGACATCGACGAATGTGCCGAATGGGGCGAAGCGATTTGCTACAATGGTGCAACTTGCGTCAATGTCGCTGGTGGATACACTTGTGAATGTCCAGCAGGTGATCCACAATTCACAATCCAGAATTCTTGAATCAAAAATCATTTTTTTCAGGAGTAACTGGTGCATCGTGTGATACGCTGATGGAAATGTGCGATCCCAATCCGTGCCTGAACAATGGAATCTGTGTAGATCGCCTGAATCATTTCGAGTGCTCCTGCGCTGAAGGTCCGAAGACAACTGCTTTAATAACTTCCATACAGGGCTTCTACCACACAAATTTCAGGTTTTACCGGACCAACATGTGCAGAAAAATGTCCATTAGGTGAACGGTGCTCCTGCCTTGCGAATGGATGTCAAAATGGAGGACAGTGCAGAAATAACGGTTGTGAATGCCCCACGGTAAGCAAAGCTTTTCTTCAACTAGATCGAAGCGGATTTTTTTT